TGTATACAAAGAGGACCAAGGCCTCAACACCACCTCATCCTGGTGAAGAACCAGAAAAGGTTCCTTGCAGGAAAGAGCAGCCAACTCCGAGACCCTGTGAGCTCCGAGACCCTGTGAGCTCCGAGACCCTGTGAGCTCCGAGACCCTGTGAGCCGAGAGACCCTGTGAGCCGAGAGAGACCCTGTGAGCCGAGAGACCCTGTGAGCTGAGACCCTGTGAGCTCCGAGACCCTGTGAGCTCCGAGACCCTGTGAGCTCCGAGACCCTGTGAGCTGAGGCAATGTAGTAACACTGCATACAACGAGTAACAAGGGATCTCTTGGAGATGCTCAGAGACAAGTCTACAAAACGGAGATGACCAAGTTAAAACCGCAGGCAGGCAGAACAGACATGGAGCCCATCTTTGAAAGCTGCCACTCCAAGTCTTCCAGCATCCAATTGGGAACTCAAGGCTCTCGGAAAATCCTCCAGGTACTGCTAAATGGCGGGATCCTCCGGAGTGGAGCATACTCCTTGCCCAGACTATAAAAGGGCTGAGCAAACATCCAGCACAAGCTATAGAGAAGTTCCCACCAGAGAGGAGGAGACCTTAAGGGGGGCTTCCGTTTTATCCACTGCGTCCTGAAAGACCCGGACCTCATTAAGTAGGAACAGGCTGGGACAACAGCCGGGGAACCCCATATCATGTAGAACTCTTCCCCCATGGTGACTCCATCAGCATACATCACTTCTTACAGATGATGGTGCACTGGAAAGGACTTGGGATTTTTGGTGGGTGCCGGGACCCGAACCCAAAGACTTTAAGGGGAAGAAGATTCCGGTAACCACATCTGCCAGGAAGCCCACTGTGGTCTCCTGTATATGGAAAAGCCCCAAAACCCGAGGATCCTCCTGAGAGGACTCATTCACAGAGAATTCTCAACAACTTTCACCTGTTCCTGAGGAACTCGAATGCATCATCTCAAAACAGAAGGAAGGGAAGGAGAGCGTCCATGTATGAGGTCCAGGAGGTCCAACCTAGTGGAGACCTCAGAGAGCCGATCACACAGCCCACATATGGCTGCAGAAAATGTTATCAAAGGAAATCAGCTAAAGACTGAGGTTTACCTGAGCTGGGCGGGGTTATGACTGGGCGGGGTTATAGTTGGGCGGGGTTATGCCTGGGAGGGGTTACCTGGGCCTGGGAGGGGTTATACCTGGGCGGGTTATGCCTGGGGGGTTCCTTGTTTTGGCCAGTGTCCATTCACCTGAAGGTGACCCATGTGGACATGGCTATGAAGTCCTCCGTGTCATCTGTGTCCTGTAATGTGCAACTATGAAATCCTTGGTATTGAATATGGGAAACTTCCAGCTATAGTGTGTATGTAGTGTATGCTGGACGTCGGAGCTCTTCACCTGTAGACTGAAGATCTGTACGAGGGGGAGGGGTGGGAGGACACACGGGTCCTGCTGACATCAGCCTTGGAGAACACACGGGTGACATATGGTGGAGAACACGGGTGACGTATTATGGTGAACACACGGGTGACGTATTATGGTGAACACACGGGTGACGTATTATGGTGGAGAACACGGGTGACGTATTATGGTGGAGAACACACGGGTGACGTATTATGGTGGAGAACACACGGGTGACGTATTATGGTGGAGAACACACGGGTGACGTATTATGGAGAACACACGGGTGACGTATTATGGTGGGAAAACACGGGTGACGTATTATGATGGAGAACACACGGGTGACGTATTATGGTGAGAGAAAACGGGTGACGTATTATGGTGGAGAACACACGGGTGACGTATTATGGTGGAGAACACACGGGTGGCGTACATTATGGTGGAGAACACACGGGTGACGTATTATGGTGGGAACACACGGGTGACGTATTATGGAGAACACACGTGACGTATTATGGAGAACACACGGGTGACGTATTATGGTGGAGAAACGGGTGACGTATTATGGTGGAGAACACACACGGGTGACGTATTATGGTGGAGAACACACGGGTGGCGTACAATGGTGGAGAACACACGGGTGGCGTATTATGGTGGAGAACACACGGGGGTGACGATGGTGGAGAACACGGGTGACGTATTATGGTGGAGAACACGGGTGACGTATTATGGTGGAGAACACACGGGTGACGTGGAGAACACACGGGTTATTATGGTGGAGAACACACGGGGTGACGTATTATGGTGGAGAACACACGGGTGACGTATTATGGTGGAGAACACACGGGTGACGTATTATGGTGGAGAACACACGGGTGACGTATTATGGTGGAGAGAACACACGGGTGACGTATTATGGTGGAGAACACACGGGTGACGTATTATGGTGGAGAACACACGGGTGACGTATTATGGTGGAGAACACACGGTGCGTATTATGGTGGAGAACACACGGGTGACGTATTATGGTGGAGAACACACGGGTGACGTATTATGGTGGAGAACACACGGGTGACGTATTATGGTGGAGAACACACGGGTGACGTATTATGGTGGAACACACGGGTGACGTATTATGGAGAGAACACACGGGTGACGTATTATGGAGAACACACGGGTGACGTATTATGGTGGAGAACACACGGGTGACACATTATGGAGAACACACGGGTGACGTATTATGGTGGAGAACACACGGGTGACGTATTATGGTGGGAGAACACACGGGTGACGTATTATGGTGGAGAACACACGGGTGGCGTATTATGGGTGGAGAACACACGGGTGACGTATTATGGTGGAGAACACACGGGTGACGTATTATGGTGGAGAACACGGGTGACGTATTATGGTGGAGAACACACGGGTGACGTATTATGGTGGAGAACACACGGGTGACGTATTATGGAGAACACACGGGTGACGTATTATGGTGGAGAACACACGGGTGGCGTATTATGGTGGAGAACACACGGGTGACGTATTATGGTGGAGAACACACGGGTGACGTATTATGGTGGAGAACACACGGGTGACGTATTATGGTGGAGAACACACGGGTGGCGTATTATGGAGAACACACGGGTGACGTATTATGGTGGAGAACACACGGGTGACGTATTATGGTGAAGAACACACGGGTGACACATTATGGAGAAACACACGGGTGACGTATTATGGTGGAGAAACACACGGGTGACGTATTATGGTGGAGAACACGGGTGACGTATTATGGTGGAGAACACACGGGTGACGTATTATGGTGGAGAAACACACGGGTGACGTATTATGGTGGAGAACACACGGGTGACGTATTATGGGAGAACACACGGGTGACGTATTATGGAGAACACACGGGTGACGTATTACGGTGGAGAACACACGGGTGGCGTATTATGGTGGAGAACACACGGGTGACGTATTATGGTGGAGAACACACGGGTGACGTATTATGGTGGAGAACACACGGGTGACGTATTATGGTGGAGAACACACGGGTGACGTATTATGGTGGAGAACACACGGGTGACGTATTATGGTGGAGAACACACGGGTGACGTATTATGGTGGAGAACACACGGGTGACGTATTATGGTGGAGAACACACGGGTGGCGTATTATGGAGAACACACGGGTGACGTATTATGGTGGAGAACACACGGGTGACGTATTATGGTGGAGAACACACGGGTGATGTATTATGGTGGAGAACACACGGGTGACGTATTATGGAGAACACACGGGTGACGTATTATGGAGAACACACGGGTGACGTATTATGGTGGAGAAACACGGGTGACGTATTATGGTGGAGAACACACGGGTGACGCATTATGGTGGAGAAAACGGGTGACGTATTATGGTGGAGAACACGGGTGACGTATTATGGTGGAGAACACACGGGTGACGTATTATGGTGGAGAACACACGGGTGACGTATTATGGTGGAGAAAACGGGTGACGTATTATGGTGGAGAACACACGGGTGACGTAGTATGGTGGAGAACACACGGGTGACGTATTATGGTGGAGAACACACGGGTGACGTACATTATGGTGGAGAACACACGGGTGCGTATTATGGTGGAGAACACACGGGGTGACGTATTATGGTGGAGAACACACGGGTGACGTATTATGGTGGAGAACACGGGTGACGTATTATGGTGGAGAACACACGGGTGACGTATTATGGTGGAGAACACACGGGTGACGTATTATGGTGGAGAACACACGGGTGACGTATTATGGAGAACACACGGGTGACGTATTATGGTGGAGAACACACGGGTGACGTATTATGGTGGAGAAACACACGGGTGACGTATTATGGTGGAGAACACACGGGTGACGTATTATGGTGGGAACACACGGGTGACGTATTATGGTGGAGAACACACGGGTGACGTATTATGGTGGAGAACACACGGGTGACGTATTATGGTGGAGAACACACGGGTGACGTATTATGGTGGAGAACACACGCAAACGGGGTGACGTATTATGGTGGAGAACACACGGGTGACGTATTATGGTGGAGAACACACGGGTGACGTATTATGGTGGAGAACACACGGGTGACGTATTATGGTGGAGAACACACGGGTGACGTATTATGGTGGAGAACACACGGGTGACGTATTATGGTGGAGAAACACACGGGTGACGTATTATGGTGGAGAACACACGGGTGACGTATTATGGAGAACACACGGGTGACGTATTATGGAGAACACACGGGTGACGTATTATGGAGAACACACGGGTGACGTATTATGGAGAACACACGGGTGACGTATTATGGAGAACACACGGGTGACGTATTATGGAGAACACACGGGTGACACATTATGGTGGAGAACACACGGGTGACACATTATGGTGGAGAACACACGGGTGACGTATTATGGAGAACACACGGGTGAGTAATTATGGTGGAGAACACACGGGTGACACATTATGGAGATAGTTTGCACAGCTTGGTAAGTTCCGGAACGGACGTCAGAGACTACTCGTGGACACACGTGGTGGGCGGTTCCTTACCTGCACAGGACACACATGGCGATGAAGCATGCTGCCGGGTTGGCGATGTTGCTCAGAACGACGGACCAATGGTAAGCGTCGGCTCCGTAGGGAAGGCAGCTGTAGGTCTGCACAGACGGCAGGACGCCATTGGTCAATGCGTTGGACAAGCCAAGTAACCCCAACAGGTAGATGTTCCGGGGGGTCCAGAATGGATGCTCAGCCAGGGTACTGGACTCCTCCGTCTTTCCATCCTCGGAGCTCCGCAGGGGGTAGGAATCTTCGGAGTCGGCTCCCTCCTGAGGGACCGTCTCGGCTCCCAGTTCTTGCTCGGGCTGCTTCTGGCCCCTTTTATGCCACAAAGGTAAGATGATGAAGGCGAGAGCGGAGACCGCCAGGAAGGTGAAGAGACCCCAGAAGTAGGAGGAGGCGGGGAAGTTCTCCTTCAGATAGCGGGGCTCCGTGCCATTGCTGGAGGTGTTGTTCCGGCACTCCAGGCGGCCCACCCCCTGACCCAGAGCCAGGATACAAGGGAAGAGGGCGCTGAGCCCCTGGCCAATGAAGAAGCTGCGTATATACTGCTGGGGGAAGCTGTACATGAAGGGCAGGAAGGTGACGTTGGAGGTGCAGCAGCCTAGAGCCAGGAGGTAGGCCAGGAGAAGGTACGGAACGCTGTGCTCCGCCCCGCCCACCACAACACGCCCGTTCCAGAACACCGCCAGGAATCCCGCTGACAGCAGACTCAGTACATGGATGGAGCGAATCAGCCACGGCTCCGATATCCGTCCCGGGGGACACAGCCGATGACTCACTGTGACTGCCAGGGGCCCGATGTTCCCAAATGCAATCAGCACCGTCAGGTAAGCCGGAAGGTTCCACGCTGTGGGGGGAAAAGAGAGAAGGTGAGAGGAGAACGGACATACTGGGAGGTGGGAGGAGAACGGACATGTATACTGGGAGGTGGGAGGAGAACGGACATTGTATGCTGGGAGGTGGGAGGAGAACGGACATTGTATGCTGGGAGGTGGGAGGAGAACGGACATTGTATGCTGGGAGGTGGGAGGAGAACGGACATTGTATGCTGGGAGGTGGGAGGAGAACGGACATTGTATGCTGGGAGGTGGGAGGAGAACGGACATTGTATACTGGGAGGTGGGAGGAGAACGGACATTGTATGCTGGGAGGTGGGAGGAGAACGGACATTGTATGCTGGGAGGTGGGAGGAGAACGGACATTGTATGCTGGGAGGTGGGAGGAGAACGACATTGTATGCTGGGAGGTGGGAGGGAGAACGGACATTGTATGCTGGGAGGTGGGAGGAGAACCGACATTGTATGCTGGGAGGTGGGAGGAGAACGGACATTGTATGCTGGGAGGTGGGAGGAGAACGGACATTGTATGCTGGGAGGTGGGAGGAGAACGGACATTGTATGCTGGGAGGTGGGAGGAGAACGGACATTGTATGCTGGGAGGTGGGAGGAGAACGGACATTGTATGCTGGAGGTGGGAGGAGAACGGACATTGTATGCTGGGAGGTGGGAGGAGAACGGACATTGTATGCTGGGAGGTGGGAGGAGAACGGACATTGTATGCTGGGAGGTGGGAGGAGAACGGACATTGTATGCTGGGAGGTGGGAGGAGAACGGACATTGTATGCTGGGAGGTGGGAGGAGAACGGACATTGTATGCTGGGGGAGGTGGGAGGAGAACGGACATTGTATGCTGGGAGGGTGGGAGGAGAACGGACATTGTATGCTGGGAGGTGGGAGGAGAACGGACATTGTATGCTGGGAGGTGGGAGGAGAACGGACATTGTATGCTGGGAGGTGGGAGGAGAACGGACATTGTATGCTGGGAGGTGGGAGGAGAACGGACATTGTATGCTGGGAGGTGGGAGGAGAACGGACATTGTATGCTGGGAGGTGGGAGGAGAACGGACATTGTATGCTGGGAGTCTGGGAGGAGAACGGACATTGTATGCTGGGAGGAGGAGAGGAGGGGGGAGGAGGACATTGTTGGGAGAGGAGGGAGAGAGGAATGACGTCATTGAGGGTGGGGTGGGGGAGGAGAGTGAAGGGGGGGGGAGAGGAGGGGAGGGGGGAGAGAGTGAGGGGGGAGAGTGTGAAGGGGGATGGGGGGAGGGGGGGAGAGGGGGGAGTGGGGGGGGGAGAGAGGGAGGGGGAGGGGGGAGAGAGGGAGGGGAGAGGGGGAGAGAGGGAGGAGGGAGGGGGGGGAGGGGGGGGAGAGGGAGGGGGGGGGCGGGGGTAGGGCAGCATGCATACATACATGTGATTTTGCAGCAGTACCTCTCCTGTAGGGTGGGAGGAGACCAGTTACATGAATATTGTCCATTAAAGCGGAACTAAACCCTCCTATTGTTTCCAGCCAAGGAAGCCGCCATCTTGGCCTTCACTTGGGCTTCAACTGCCATTTACTGCACATGTGATCAGCTAGGACTCCGCCCATTTGATGGTTGACAGTCGGGTTGAGAGTACAAACAAATGTGACAGTTGTGGAGCCGACATGGAGGAATGTTATACTGAGGGGTTTAGTTCCGCTGCAAAGTATTCTGTATGTAACCTCAGCCCCTCCCCTGACCCCACCCACTACCTCAGACTCCACCCAATATGCCATCCTCCTGTACCCCAACCTCAGCCCCTCCCCTGACCCACCCCCACTACTACCCCCTACTACCTCAGACTCCACCCCCAATATGCCATCCTCCTGTACCCCAACCTCAGCCCCTCCCCCAACCACACCCCCTACTACCTCAGACTCCACCCAATATGCCGTCCTCCTGTACCCCAACCTCAGCCCCTCCCCCAACCACACCCCCTACTACCTCAGACTCCACCCAATATGCCGTCCTCCTGTACCCCAACCTCAGCCTCATCTTCCTACTGACCCCCCTGTGGTCAAATCTCTCTTCTTCTCAGTGTCTGCAAACATCTCCCAGCATCTTCCAGTGTCATCTCTGTACCCCCCCCCCAGTGCCTTCCAGTGTCATCTCTGTACCCCCCAGTGCCTTCCAGTGTACCCCCCCATCTCTGTCACCTCTGTACCCCCCTGTCATCTCCCCCCCAGTGCCTTCCAGTGTCATCTCTGTACCCCCCAGTGCCTTGTCATCTCTGTACCCCCCAGTGCCTTCCAGTGTCATCTCTGTACCCCCCCCCAGTGTCATCCTTCCAGTGTCATCTCTGTACCCCCCAGTGCCTTCCAGTGTCCTCTGTACCCCCAGTGTCTTCCAGTGTCATCTCTGTACCCCCCCCTTCCAGTGTCCTGTACCCCCCAGTGCCTTCAGTGTCTCTGTACCCCCCAGTGCCTTCCAGTGTCATCTCTGTACCCCCCAGTGCCTTCCAGTGTCATCTCTGTAGTGCCTTCCCCCCCATCTCTGTACCCCCCAGTGCCTTCCAGTGTCATCTCTGTACCCCCCAGTGCCTTCCAGTGTCATCTCTGTCATCTTCCTGTCATCTCTGTACCCCCCCCCAGTGCTCTTACCCCCCAGTGTCATCTCTGTACCCCCCCCCAGTGTCTTCCAGTGTCATCTCTGTACCCCCCAGTGCCTTCCAGTGTCATCTCTGTACCCCCCAGTGCCTTCCAGTGTCATCTCTGTACCCCCCAGTGTCTTCCAGTGTCATCTCTGTACCCCCCCCCCAGTGCCTTCCAGTGTCATCTCTGTACCCCCCAGTGCCTTCCAGTGTCATCTCTGTACCCCCCCCAGTGTGCCAGTGCCTTCCAGTGTCATCTCTGTACCCCCCAGTGCCTTCCAGTGTCATCTCTGTACCCCCCAGTGCCTTCCAGTGTCATCTCTGTACCCCCCAGTGTCTTCCAGTGTCATCTCTGTACCCCCCAGTGCCTTCCAGTGTGTCTTCCAGTGTCATCTCTGTACCCCCCCCCTTCCAGTGTCATCTCTGTACCCCCCAGTGCCTTCCAGTGTCATCTCTGTACCCCCCAGTGCCTTCCAGTGTCATCTCTGTACCCCCCCCTTCCAGTGTCATCTCTGTACCCCCCAGTGCCTTCCAGTGTCATCTCTGTACCCCCCAGTGTAGTGTCATCTCCCCCCAGTGCCTTCCAGTGTCATCTCTGTACCCCCCAGTGTCCAGTGTCTCTGTACCCCCCAGTGCCTTCCAGTGTCATCTCTGTACCCCCCAGTGCCTTCCAGTGTCATCTCTGTACCCCCCAGTGCCTTCCAGTGTCATCTCTGTACCCCCCA